CTGTGGTTACCTACTCCATTTCTGGCCAATGAAGTAGCTATGACATTATAAACTATCTAGGTGTTCATCTGAATAAATGGTTCAATTGGTAGGTTAAAGCCTTAGCCTCTCTAAGAACAAATCTTGAAGACCGAGGACTACCTGCTGCTTAAGTCGTCCAATCAATCACCAGTTCACCACTTGGCATATCTTTCAATTTTTAATCATTCCATCCCAAGGAGTAGGCAGGATTGAGACTGTGAACAGCTAGCAGTTCAGCCTTGAGTTACCTTCAAAGCAGCCAATTTTTTGATAAGTTTATCTTCTATATGTGCATGTTCTGCAACCACTTGCTTCCTCCTAGAATTGTATCAATGGTTATTCCCTCTGCTAGAAGCTTTTTGATTAAATGGATAAAACAGGGAAGGTGTAGATTGAACACCTTGTCTTTTTTCCCCTTTGGCCTCTATATTATCAGGTTTTACTGGTCTTACCATTCTAACCTTTGTAATGACTAGGAAAGGATTGGCTCTAGATCATCCATACAGGCTGTATATTTGTATACTTGCATGCATATGAGACATGTAGGCCGGCCCAATTCTTTGGACTATTTTTTTGCCCCTTTCGTCTTTTTCACTACATGCATCATTTGTCAAAGAAATTTGCTTTTGAAATTTGGTGTATTTGAATGGAACTTGATCTACATCATTTTTTATTTGGATATTTATGGAACATAGTTTGTGCAAATTTGTACATTACATTTTTCTGAAGGTTTCTGTATTTGTTAGTCTTGCTGGGTATTAATGTTGGAGCTCTTTTTTTTTTTCTTCCTATCCCTTTTATTTTACAGAGAATATGGTTATGCATGTACAATAATGTCAGGTGCTGATACTTCCATTTCACTTGCTGTTGGCAACTACGACACCAGTCAAAGTTCCTCTGCTTCATGTGAAAATGATACAATCAATTATCTTAATTCCCTGCCAAATGATGGTGGTAATGGAAAGTCTGCAGATTCTAACAATGGTGATGATGATCATGGAGATGAGGGTAATTCTTCAAAAATGGAAGTCTCAGAAGTTAAGATGGATCTTACAGATGACTTGTTGCACATGGTATCTTACATGCTCTTTCAATATGCTTTTGTTATCACTTCCGTTTTATGAGTTAATATTTTCTCAAAATTTTCTCAATGTGGTCCCAGGTTCTCTCTTTCCTGGACCATATTAATTTATGTAGAGCTGCTAGGGTCTGCAGGCAGTGGCATGTGGCTAGTTCTCATGAAGACTTCTGGAAGTATTTGAATTTTGAAAGTCGGGAAATCTCTGAGAATCAGTGTAAGTCATCTTTTTTCCTTTGTGGTACCAAAACAGTGTTACGTATATCCTTTTTGAAGGGATTAATGAAGTATAAATTTGAAATCAAGTTGCATATGAATTCCTAGAAATGGTAAAATGTAATGTAGAGTTGCACATGGGGAGTGATCATGGGCCACGCTAGGCTTAGCACCTATAATAAGGGCTATAACCTGGGCCTAAAAGGCAATGAAATGAACAAAATTATCTTCTTAAAAGGCAAAGAATGTTATACAATCATTATTTTTTATGCAAGAAATAAGAATTTCAGACCCTAACATAGACTTGTTCGGGCTTGCCTCGAGGGGCGTGGTACAAAGGCRAHYCATAGAAYCAWGARTGCAATATKTYTTACATCACATTAGCTACTTGAAGCAATGCAATTAAGGTAAAAAAGAGATTG